GGGGGAGGGGGGGGGGTGGAGTTTGATGGAGTGCTACGACTACAGGGCTGCACAAGAAGAACATTAAAAAGGCCAGAAGTGAAGTTAAGGAGCTGATAAAAATTTCCAAATTGGAAATTAACACAATCATTGGATCGTGAACACGAGACTGGAAAATCATATCAGGGAGGGCCATCAAAAAACCATTTAGGACCTCAATTAAAGTTATTACCATTAAAGGGGGCTGCATCTTCAAAATACCATGAAAAATTAATAATGATTGCCAATCAGAAGAAAAAATGATCTCTCTTCTCCGAGCGATCGGCGTGCATTAGAAATGAAATAAAACAGGACAGGAACAGAAGGCGAAGACGGGGAGAAAATGAGAGACTGGAACTCTGCTCACCTGATCCCTTGCAGGTTTGTGTGTGGCCATATGCCGCTCAAGCTGAGTGCGGTAAGCAAACGTGTAGTTGCACAGGGGGCAGGCAAAGTTCTCCTCGTTCTTCTCATGGCGGTACTTGATGTGCTCCTTCAGCGAAGTCAAGCGCTTGTAGCCCCGGTCACAGTAGGGGCAGGTCAACAGTTGGGCAAAGGCATCTGGCGTTCCAGGTGGCAGGTCTGCACGGGGGAGACAGCGGGATGAGGAGGGAGGGAGGGAGGTGGTGTTGGAAGGAAGGGGAAGGGGAAAGCAGGCCAAAAGGTCAGCGAATCAATGGCAGCTAAATGGGCGGGCTGCCCAGAGTGGTATGGGAGTTATCTGTGCAATCTGCTCCACATGAGAGCCTCAGTGTCAGGCTGGCATCCACCACACTACGACCTCCTCCTTCCCTCCACTTACACACACACACACACACACACACACACACACACACACACACACAAACTTACACTAACACTTGTGCAGCATGACATATAACACACACTCACACACTCGCTCTCTCCTGTCCCTCTCACTTGCCTCATGTCTTGTGTACAGTACGTACAGACACATATTACTACACACACACACACACACACACGTTTGAACAAAATGCAAAGCATGAACTCTCATCTCTTCCAAACTGCTACAAACTCTCTGTTCAATGCCACTCACTTCATATTGTGAAATATGAAATATTCGCCTCCTCTGATTCAATCCCACCAACACTCTCCAGCCCCCGCACCCCGAGTTCTTTCCCTCTGGGAGGCTTCAGAGGTGCACTATCTGATTTCAAGCTCCCCGCCCAGCTGTTGCTTAAGATTGTAGGTAAACACCAAGGCATCCGGCGAATCTGTGGGACCAACAGCTGCCCAGCCGTGTCAGACAGAGCAGCCAGACTTCTTCACTTTTCCCCCTGCCTTTCACTTTTCTACTCTCACTGTTTGTAAGCCGTCCACAGAAGCCATACGCCTGTTTCATTTAAGGTGTTCAATCAAAACTTTTCTTCAATCACTTAAAAAAACATGTGATGAAAAAATACACACCGTTCTCCTCTGGTCCTGTGGCCTCTGGTGTTCCCAAACGGGACAGCTCCTCTGGGGCTTCTGGGTAGATGATGGCCGTGTCACCCCGTTGCAAATATTCGGCAATGCTCACTACGTGGCTGTCACCATCGTCCAGCTTCCGCTTGGCGAAGAAGTCCTCAAACTCTGAAGTGCAATTGACGCTCTTGACTGAAGGAGAGAAAGAAAGAAAAAGAGAAAGACGCTGAAGGAGGAGACTGACGGAGAGAGGGCAGAGGAATAAATCGGATTCTCCAGAAATCTTAGAAGGGGACATCGGGGGACATTGTGGTGGAAATGTGATGAAGACAGCCACCCCAACACATTACAGTCATGCTTTGGGGGGAATACATCTAAATTACAGGCTTTACTTGTCACGCCGTGTGAGCTAAAACAGGAGTTGTAACTTAATGCGGCCAAAAGTCAGAGATAAAGCAGCTAGTAGGAGCTGCTGAGGAACAATGTGAAAAAAATCAAACCCTCAAACTAGACCCAATTACCTAATTTACTCATGACATAAAATCTGATATTGTCTCGGGCACTGTAAAATAAAAAAAAGAAAATATATGCATGAGCCAGGTTTAATCAGCAAGGGAGCAATGTTTCTCTGTATCGACTTTCACATATAAAGTCAATCAAGAGATTGTATGGGCTTTTTTTTACCGAACAGATTATCAAGTACAAACCACAATCCAGCACAAAAAAGAATTAAGATTAAAAGAGAGCGAGAGAGAGAGAGCTGTGTACACCGTAGCTGTGTCTTAAGCCAGCCAAAGTGCTGAGGCCACACAATGTGTTGCTGTCAAATTATTTCCCAGTCCCCTTCTCTTCAGGGAAACTCCTAAGCTGCAGTGAGGAGATAGCTGCCTCTAAATACAAACTGGAGCTGTGAGAAATCTGCTTTTTACCTTCATTAGTCAAGGGGATGGCTGACTTTCAACACGCAGACACACGGGCTACAGCGCACCAAGAAAAAATGTCTCATTAGACCTCAGCACCTGTTAATTAGGCTTTTAGCCCGAGCCAAGGTGAGGTCCAAAAAGTAACTGACTCAATTTGTGAAAGGTCAGAGAAGGAGACATTTGATTATCAAAAAAATGGCATCCAAATGTCATGGGTGTCGATGGATTCCTTTTTAATCTGAGATAGCATTGTTTACTGCAGTCTTATTAGAGGATTGATTTTTAGTTTGAAGGTTTAAAACCCGGTGCAGTATTGATGAGTGCAAGCATTTATTTTACTTTGTTTTTGTAATAAATTTAAAAAGAAAAAAAAAATCTTTTCTTTCAGTGAAGGCAGAAATCACCTGGATCACACTGGGTGCTTTGGCACAAAGAATGTGATCAAACTTTCTCGGATTTCCTTAAATAAAATCATATGTCACAGGGAGCTTCCACAGCCGCACACACAGTATTGTTTTTCTTTTTTTTTTTTTTTAGAAAGACGTCCTTTGAGCAGGCGAAATGGAAAACATTTGCTGTGCTTGAACTTTGAGAACAGAGGGGAGGAAAAAATATGAAGAATAAAACACCATGAGCATAAAGTTATAGTAATTAAAGCTGAAAGCAAAGGGGGTTTTGAGGCAGGGCTGCGTGGCATTCTGTGGGGTGAGTTTGGTTTATTGTAACAGTGTCCGGGGCCAATCGTCAGGGTGGCCAGGATGATATCATGGAAGGGAGGAGCCTGTGGCTGCAAATAAGCTTTGGTGGCTTAATGAAAAATGGCAGGTAGGGTTCTTTTCCACCAGGAACTGGCGTCAGGACACACACACATGCAGAGACTTATTTAGCTAACAGGAAAAAGTGAAAACAGCACGCATAATCAAGGCTAATATAAATTTCAACACACTCTGGCTGTGACTATAAACATCCAGGGGTTTTGCTGAAGTGTTTGTGGAAGTCGTGTCAGCGGGACATGTTTTTCCTTCTAATTACAGATGTTGCTTTACGTTCTTCATTTAAAAAGGTGCTACAAAAGCGTTAACTCACCTGTACCGTTTCCAACCGCCTGTAAAGTGGCATCAGGCCCTAGGTTGTCGAAATCATCTTTCATTTCATCTGCACAGAAACAGAGGAGCGGGGAAAGAGATATGCAGGGTGAGATAAGTGTGGCTAAGTACCTCCATGCATCAGACAGAAACCAGCAAACACTGACAAAGAGGCTCTTAGGAAGAAGGTACGGGGGGAAAGCAGTGAAGGCACCACTGTGCATCGTGGCATGCCACAGCTTTGTTCAGCATGCCTAATGAATGCTATCGTCTGGGCCAGACAGTGACTTATTTACCTTTAACACGACAACAAGCGACGGGGGAGGCAAAGAAAGCTTCAGTGGCCAAACAGAGTGATTAAATACAACATGGAGCACATCCACCTGAGCAATCACGGAGCTCCAGCCAACACGCAGCCTGAGCTTATTACTCCCTGGCTGTGGCGCTGCTGCAATCCTCAGCATGCAGGATCACGCTTGTTTTATCATATGTCATTTGGTGGATGCTTTTATCTAGCACATGCACTTTTTTTTTTTCCCCACAACCCCTGGCAGAGAGTTAGCGTCTTGCCCCTAACATAAAGAATGCAACCCAGAACCACAAATTAACAGTTTTGGTTGCACAAACATTTTTTAGAGGCAGAGCTGCTCTGGAGGCAGAAATAACCTCATTGGTTGGGGTAAACCTCACGTGGGAGGAGACGTAGGAATTAATGTTTCTGGCGAAGGATGTCACGGCTGAAACCCAGTGAAAGAGACAACATTTAAAACAGGAGCAGGAACTCCAGGAGGCTGTTATTTTACAAAAAAAAGTGTACAGAATAAGCTTTGAAAAAGGCCTATTCCTGGTTCCATCCTCTTTGGGCTTTTTTCTCCCAGAAAAGCCCTTCCTTTGAGAACTAAAAGTCTAGGAATCTTCGTTTGAAGAGACTGGGTTCTTAGTGCCAATCAGGATAATGGCAGCCCAGTTTGCGCAGATGGGCAGATATTGTCCTGGCACAGGTGAGGCAGCGGTAAATTAGCAGCGGGCTGACAGGCTCATAAACACGGCCCTCTCCTGACAAATTCATTCCTCTGCGGTCAAAAGGAGGACACTGACTGGACAATCAGCTTAAGAAGCCCCCGCTGGTCCCTCCTTCTTGCATCGTCGGTAAAAAATTAAATCAAGGTGCTTCCGAGAACACGGGGGCTTTGTATTAAAATGAGAGAGAGAAAAAACATATTGTGTGCCTTACACGCATCTGTTCTTGCTCTGCCGCTCCTGCAAGGACGTTACAAGTGTTGCATTGTGAAGATTTTTATTTTTTTAAACTTACTGCAGCAGGACCTGATGTATTTGACTATCACATCGCTGTCCAACAACTAAAGTGACAGGTTGATGCTTAATAATACTACCAGGTTCCTTGGCCCTTTTGCAAAAGTCAGAAGCAAAAAGATTTTGACTTTCCGTTTTTGATTTTCAGTTTAAAACAATGGCCTTGGTAATTGTGGGTGATTTGGGGCTCGTGCAGTGAGATAATAAATACCCCTGTCAATGGCTCCATACAATAATGACAGAGCGCTCTGGAGGAGCATGTCCTAGTTTAACTTTCTCTCTTGCAAGTGTTTTATTCCTCCACTTATTTTCCCCCTTGTGTGTGTTTGATTGCACGTCTGCCAAACGGCATCAAAACCACAGACGCAGTACAAAAAAAAAGGGTTTCAAACAACATAAATTAAGCTCCGACAAAACAAAACAGATTTAAAAAAGGGGCCTCCGCAACAGATTTAAATATACACGTAAAGGAATCAGATATAAGCATGTTTGAGAACCGCCTGTCCTTCCACTCAGAACACTGGTCCAAACTCCCTCACTGCTCTGTGCCCTCGAAGGCACCGTGTTTGCACTTGGTAATCAAATTTGGCTGCATACTTTAGGTGTGACGCAAAGGGGGGATGACCAGTGGGGTTTACTGGTCCTTCACTCTCCCCTGTTTACCTTGGAAAACTTTTGTTATCTGTGGCTTACAGGGAGGGATCGCTGCTTCCAGCAGGAGGTGGGCTCACACCACACACACCTCTCTGCTACGGCCCCTGGCACATGTACATGTGGAGGGAGAAATGCAGGATTTGAACTGCATTCAAACAGGGCAGAGGTGGGGAGGGGGGGGGGGGGGGTTAGTCTTTTATAAGTTGAGACATAAATATGGCGAGAATAAAAACAATTTGGGATTTGGTCTTGATTCATTTATGCCACAAATATGCACCTTAGTCTGTCCACCAAATGCTGCAGAAAGAGAGTTTTGTCAGCAGTAAATCACAGCAGTAAATCACAGAAGACCTGAGGCGGTAAGGTACACACTTTCTTGAAGAGGGACGGGGAGGTCGCAGAGCCGACACTGGGACCCAGGAGGAGTCCGGAATACCTTGGCAAGACCGTAATTCCACCTATTTTCATAGCGGCTCTGATGCTGTTTATTTTGAAAACATTCCTACTTTTATGGCTGGACACTGGAGCCGTGAGCTCAGCTTTAAAGTTCTGCCTTTGTGCATTTAGCCTCATTTATCCTCAGTCTGTCACAAGGGAATAAAGTTTTAACAGTTTCAGAACCTGAGAAAAACAATATGATTTTAAATAATGGTTTAAGGACACTGAGCCAAATCTGATATTTTTAGTCCAAACCGGTCTGTGCCATATTTCTCTGTCTGCCTAGCGATTCTTTAACATTGGGACATTTAACAGCCAAAGGAAAGGGTGTTTTTTTTTTGTTGTTCTTGTTTTCTTTTTTCAAATTCTGTTTTGGAAGTGATCCGCAATATCACTTCTTGTGGAAAAAATAATGTGGGAAATTGCTGCACTAGTAGGTGTCAAACTAATAACGCAAAGACTTGATAAATCATTCCCTTATAAACCATAAGGGAAAATTTGGCAAATGCTGCACGGAAAGTGTTTGAAAAAATAAAGCGACAAATATGTTTTTGGAATAGAACACAAGGTGCAACTGAGAAGATTTTCAAAAAAGGAACAAAGGTGTTTCATTCTAAACTGTACTTCAGCGATAATGATGTCATACTTTCCAGGACATCGTGTTCAGCTGCAGTGATGACGGGATGTCAAGGACAGTGACAGACGAGGGGCATGAGCCCTGAAATCAAAATCTTCCTTCACGTAAAAAACTCCTCTCACATGCAGTGATGTGAAGTGAAGTAAATACAACTGAACAATGGCATTTTAGTGTGACATGTCTGAGGCTTGACGTGCATTTCACAAGTTTCCCATGACTTGTAATCAGTTACACTGAGTCACACACTTCTACGACCTGTGTTAGTGAGAAAAACAAAACAAAAAAAAGAAACAAATCTTGATAGATAGAGGAGTGACGAACAAATCAGTCCTAGCAGGAAGAAGGGAGGCTGCTAACTTATCTCAGGCCTAAGTTATGTGCTGAGGTATCACTGTAGACACTTAGGCACCAAGGAAGAAAAAAAAATGCAGCCTGGGAAGCAGCACCCGCAAGATTGGGAAAGAGACTCCCAAATGCTCTAATGAACTCGACTTGCTCTCTGAAATATGTCAGACACTTTATCACACAAGAAGCATATTATCTGGGAATTGCAACATAGTTGAATTACAGACATTATGGCACCGCAGGTCTTTATCAAATAAACAATTACCGTATGCATCGACAGCTTGTTTATTCTTTATCTTGATTTATTTACCCGGCCGTCTTTTCCTCTCCCGTCCCTTAAGGAACCACGGGGAACTTTTATTTGGAAAAAGCAAATGTTGATTCCTGCTAACTCTTTTTTATTCATCTCTAATAAATGTGCAATTTTCCCCCATATTAAAATTTAAGACTGCCGAATGTTCTCCCGTTTTTCGACACGGCGCACAGCTAGTTCATTAGCAGAAATGAATAGCGATGCCTTGCTCATTTAAATGGGCTGTCTTACATGACTTCTCGCCGTACTCTGTTCCTGTCACATGCTTCCAAGAATCATTGACTCTTATTATACATGTAAATGGCTATCATAAAAATAAAAATTTCATTTAAGATTGTTAATGACTTTTTGCAGCAGTCTGGCTTCCTTTAATGATTATACTCTGCCCCCTAATTAAAAGTATTTATCTTTCAAGCATCCATGACTGGGGCCCCAGCAATCAGAGCTGCTCAGCAAAAGACCATAAGTCTGTCAAGTTAGGCAAGGTATCACCTGCCTGGGATTAAGCAACTTGTTACTGAAGAGGTATCACATGGTGCTGGGCATTGTTTGATGAAAACTGAAATGTTAATGAACGCTGCTATGATTTAAGGGAATGGAACTACTCTCTTCATCTATACTGGCTACAAGTTTAAATTATACTGCTATTTCTTTTTGTAAATTCACATTTTTCTATGAATAAATATTTAATGTTTTGTTATCTCAGAGCAGACATTTTGTTTATACAACCAAACGATCTCAGTCGGCAACAGCTGATCGTGTCAATCTGATAAAAACGAGCATCATTAGAGCGTCGCCATGAGACAAGGCTTCAGTAATGTTTGCAAAAGTGTGTCATAGAAATTTGTTAAGGTGTGCAGTTAAAGTGTGCCTTAGCTTTAAGGTTAAAGATGAAAGAACAGCAGATGTTTCTTCTCAGAAACAAATAGTAAGAGAAGTTCCATACATTGTTTAAGGGAGAAGCTAGAAGATTTAGACCAGCCATGTTAGTCATCTTAGAGTTTGAACGTAACATTATCAACACTCACCAGTACCGTCCACTGAGGCACTCAGCATGTCGTTGTCGGGCCAAATGTGTTCCACGCCGCTGTCCCTCATCTCGTCGTCCTCCTCCTCCTTGGACAGCAGGCCATGGCTCTCCGCGCGGGGAGAAGCCTCTGGGTTGGTGAGGCTCGCGGGACTTCCTGTACCGTTGATCAGGGGGTCTTCCTCAGACACGGGCATCTTGTCCTCCTCCTCTGTTTCAGAGCCTGTTTCCACCACGTTCTCATAGTTGAGAGCTGCAACACAGAAGAAACAAATGGGAGAAGAGTCTGTTTAGAACATTCTATTAATACGAACGCAATATTGTAATGCCTACGTCTTTGAACTGTACACATAAATTACCGTCAAATCAGCGGGAGGATGGTGTGCAGCTTGTGTTTTTAAACTAAGGTGTACACCAAAATCTAAAGGGTCAACACCCCACATCAGTGCCTTTCCAAGGCATGGGCGTTTATTTTTTTCCCCTTTTTGTGGGTTCCACCCCAATTACAGCATCCACGACTGGAATCTGTGACCGAACCACAGCGGAGGGCAGACAGCTGTCGAGGAGATGCGAGTCAAAATAGCCACTAATTTTCAGTGCTGCTCACATACCACGGATACCAATGTGCTGCACCTTTCAGGCACGGCTCTGCTTTGGAGCATACCCATCACGTTTGAAATGCTCTGCATTGCACATACAATATTACAAATGTTACTGCTATGTATTCATAACCTGTAGTAATTCAGATTATTCACTGCTCGTATCCCCCGGATGTCTTCACATTTACATCGCCACTGAACCATGAACATAAATATAAATGTTTTCTAACATATGAAAATCTACAAACACGACAGGGCCTTGAGGCCCATTGACTGCGTGCATTCAGGGATACAGACTGACGTACATACCACATTTTCATACACACACACACAAACACACACAAGGTTACACAACCCAATAGCAGCATCAAGAAGAGCCCGTCTGGTTTCACAGGTCAGGTCCCAGACATATGCCAGCTTTTCCTAAAATAGACAGCCTTCAAATATGGTCCTGTAAAGTCAATCAAAGGTGGCTCTCGTGCAAATTATTCACCGCCATCGGCAGCCGACAGGCCACGGGGTAAATCGTGGCAGAAAGGGATGTCAGAAGACCTACTGGAGGAGCACAGATGGAGCATGAGGCGAGCCAAAAGCATGGCATGGAGACACACCTCATTGGCAGCTCGTGCAAGAATCTTCTGTACTTGGAGCTAATCATGGGAGGACCCCAAGTTTCAGCCACTATAGACAAGGTGGAGGCTTTTTTAAAAAGTGAATTTATGTCTCTGACTAAATTGAAAAAAAAAAGCTGTAAAAGTCAACATGTCTCTGGTGGAAATCACCATATGCAATTCCATAGGGAGGGGCTGTATCTTAAGACTTACATTTTTTTTTCTTTGCATGAAACATATTGTCATGAAGTCCTGAAATTTCCGTCTGACTCTTGAACTTTCCCAGAAACCCAGAGAGCCAACAACAGAAAGTTCATGCATGACATTTCTGCAGATATTATACATATGAAAAGATAATCCTCTCCACATCTCCTCCTAACACGTCTCAGTACGACTGACTGGTCCACACTTGCCTTCACCGAACAACTGCACAACAGGTGCAAATTAAAATGAAAACAGGGCTTTCAAATGTGGGAGGGAAGGCAAAGGGGGGGAGAGGGTGGTAGGCAGGCAGGCAAGGGGGTGCAGAAGAAGGAGGAGGGGAGTGGGAGCATGGTGACCTGCCTCGAATACCAATCGACAGAAGAAACAAAACCTTTTCAAGAGGTGTGATCACAAGGGTTTAGGCAAGTTCAGACTCAGTAATGCCCCTTGGAGATGACAAAACCCCAAAAGCTGGAGACCCAGGAGCGAAGAAAGACTTTAGGGATTCCTGGGTGGTCTACATCTACCTTGGTACAACTAAAAATGTGCCCTATTGAGACACTGCCGACAATCCTTTTGGAAAGTTAAACTTCTTACATCAAACATCTACACGACCACAGACTTAAGGGTCCATCAAACTTGGAAATATCTCTACCCGTAGGGTTGGGAAAATATCAACCCTGAGGTGTTGGTCTTTTCTTAGCAATGTCCCATCAGCTCGGTATCCCCCCAAACCTCCTGAGGAGGGGGCAACAAGAGCGTGGGGCTGGTAGAACAAAAGGCCAAGAGGCTTGGGAAGCTATCAACCCGTCACTGTGAACCTGATCTCTGGATGCAGATTCAATGACGGAAGAGCAGGGGCTGGCTGAATGAAATTATCTAAGGCTGGACAGGTTTTAAAGGGGCCCATTCTCTGCCAATAAAAGAAGTGAGGGAGCTTCTTTTTGTTTACATCCACCACAGCAACGAGCACCGGTCTGACTTCTAAACTCCCACGTAAGAATGAGGGAATGCAACATTGTGGACTTTTCTCAAACTAACTTTTGAGGCATGACTAGGAAGAAAAGAAAAAGACGTGGAGCTTGTCTTTTATTTTTCAACCTTTTCAAGCCTCCTGCTGTTTTTTTCTTATCTCTCATGACGTACTGTCCTCAAGTTTCTGAACAATTTTCAGCACGGGGGCGTTGAACTGTCTCCGAAAGTTACAGTGGATGCAATCTTTTTTTTTCTTCTTCTCCTTCTTGCGAACATCAACTTGTCTTCTCCGCATTCAACGTATACCTCCAGGAAGGCAAAATGACAGTGTGGTGCTTGTCAAATCAAATGCGTAGTACTAACATGGAGAAAGCCACCATTGTTTAGTTGCCACCGTTGACAGGAGCCTCTCCCTCTCCGAGCATGAAGCATCTATTGGTATTGTGTCATGCAACAAAGTAATTCTAACCTACTAATATTTCTCAGGCAGTTACCCCCCCAACACCCCCACCCTCACCCGCACCCTCTATCCTCCCTCTTAATCGGCCTTTTGTGTTTGCTGAGGAGAAAAAGACAAAGAAAACATGATGTTTTTCTCCACAAATGCCTCTCTGTTCTCCCTTTCTTACCTTAAGTGTCACACTCAACAAAAGCAATTACGGCTGACACTTTAAAGACTTACACTACCTGTTTTTTTTTTTGTTTGTTTTTTTTGTTTGTTTTTTTTTTTAATCTCCCTCACCGTTGAAGGTAAATAAAGGGAGTCTCTCTTTGACTTGAGTACTGTAGATAATTAAAGTGACACATGTAACAACACAATTTTGTTTAATATCGGGGGCTTTAAACTATCTGACATAACCCTTTCATTGCCCTGGCATTATACTGTCACTCAAAAAAGTACGAGGAGGAGTGGAATATTGAATATTGATTATGATGCCTACAAGCATCAGAAGTGACAGCCTGATGGAGAGCAACAAGAAGCAACGGGAAAAATAGTCTTGTTAAATCCCTTTTGTTGCTTTAATGAGATAAATAAAGAGAGAGTTTTGTTCTACAGGTACTGAGCAGCCAGTGGCTGTTATTCAGCACTGGCTAACAGACAGCGAAGATTAAAATAAGTTAATCTGTAAAGCATTGGGTTTGACAGTGAACAAATGGCTTCGTGAAACAGAAATGACTTTCATTTTTACAAGTCAAAACCCAGAGACATTTTTGTGTGTGTGTCTGTGTGCATGATTTTGACAACAGTTGTCGGGCCACATGCTGCATTCAAAGACCCCCGAAGTCACTCTGAGGAATATGCAGACACCAGTTTGAGTCTTTGATGGTGACCCCATGCATGTGTTTGTGGGAGAAAATTTAAATTGGTTTGAACCTGAGTCACTGACGTTTTAATAATTTGCATTTTGTGTAACATCATAGACCGGACAGAACCAAAAGCAGACTTTCAGCTTTATGTAGAAAACAGTTGGTGACTTATTGCTATTGTCCACAGAGTTCAAAATTAGTTTCGGCCCTGGTTTTGGCTCGATAATTTTGATGATTTGAAATTGCATAACTAGATAGAACAGAATGGCTCTGGACTATATTTAGCCTAACAACTATGTCACCTGCTGGCTAAGATGTGTTTGCTTTTCAAGGTGCATTTCTTACAACCAGTGAAGAATCGATCGTCTTCCAAGTTGTGTGTAGAAAAATATGTCATAGAGTATAAAGATGAGGAAGAGACTGTTTATACTCCCAATTATCTAAAGGACTACCCAGATATTGTGCAAACAGGAATCATGTATCAAATGTAAAAAAAAAAATTGCACAAATCTCTTGCTTTGCTTTGAACATTTTTAGATTAAAAAGTATCTCCTGTACAACCACCGGTGATGAGTTGAGTGGTGCTGCACCTGCACAGTCTTAAGAAAGCCATATCACAGTGCCTACAGGTATATAAGGTGTATAATCACATTCATTTAACGATCCCCAAGTAGTTGCTCTGTGCCCAGAGGAAGCTGAACCGAAAGCTCTTCCTGCTTAAGTCTGCGAGCCGCAGAGAAAGAGCGCTTTGTGTTTGTCAGGCCAATAGTAATGGTGATGGCTGCGGGGAAGAATGACTAACACCCACGTTCACGCTCTCACGCTAACCCCAGCTGACTTTTTAAAGTCGAGTGTCGAGGCTTAGCTCCAGGTGACATGATCGGCCTCCTACGTCTATAATGAGCCAGGACATTCTCCCTATTGGACGATAACTGCTCGCACTCATTCCTTGTCTTATGAATGTGAGCCCGGTAGATCACCTGGATGGCTGGGAGGAAGACGGGAAAGCAGGAGTGAGTTCCTGTAAGTGTGTGTGAGCTTGTCTGTGTTTGAAGGAGGGCATTGGGCGGAGGCAAGGTCGCTGCCTTTGGGTATGGCAAACAGGAGAGCATTCCCCTGATGACCTTTTGTCTGCTATTGTTCCTGGTTTTAAACAGTTTAATAGCACTGCATCTTAACTAAAACACAATTATTACTTATTCTTGACTCGCTGACGTCTCCAATTCCCCAATTTTAATTTTCTTTGAAAGGCCAGCATCATTCCTGAGTGAATCCAAACACAATTCAAGGGAGACAAAAGCAGTGCGGCCATGTTTGTATATATTTTTTAGCTATCTTGTCTCTGTACAATGGTGCGATCCTGCACGGAGGGGCAAGTCAGGGCCAAGGCGAAAAAAACGGTGGCAGAGGGCAAACAAAAGCACTAAAAGAGACAGAAAAAGAGAAAGAGGGAAAGCAAAGCGAGGGCCACAGAGGAGTTGGGGCTGGGGGTGGGAGGGAATAAGGAGAGACGATGAATGGTGAAAACTCAGTGAAGTGTAAATGCAACCTTGGAGAGT